AAATCACCGCCACGGCCAACTTGAAGCGGGTAAATTTTCTTGACGTCACACTTGACTTGGCTAACGGAACATACAAACCCTACAGAAAACCCAACGACGACCCACTATACATCAACCGCCTTTCCAATCACCCACCCGCTATCACACGACAACTTCCATCATCCATCAACAAGCGAATCAACAAATTATCATGCGACAAAACAACTTTTGACGCTGCGTCTCAATTGTACAACAACGCACTGAGACAAAGCAACTACGACGCAACACTTACGTACGAGCAACCAACCAACAACGTAGACATCGACAGCAGCAACACAACGCAAAAACGTAAACGGCATCGCCATATAATCTGGTATAACCCCCCTTATTCGAAAAACGTAAAAACGAACATCGGACAACAATTCCTACATCTGTTAGACAAACACTTCCCACCTTCCAATCAACTCCATAAAATTTTCAATCGACATAACGTACGAATCAGCTACGGCTGTCTTGACAACATGCGCTCATTCATAAACAAACACAACAAGAAAATACTGAACAAACACACAAAACAGACAAACGCAAACACAAACGACACAAGCAAACAACGACAATGCAACTGCAGACTACCGGAAAAATGCCCAGCTGAAGGTAAATGCCTCACATCAAACGTAGTCTACCAAGCCGAAGTGTCCACGCGCAACAACGATCCACCAGCCAGGTACATCGGAGTCACTGCGGACGTTTTCAAAACACGCTACCGAAATCACGCAAAATCTTTCGCGAATAAGAAGTATGCCAAGGAGACGGAACTGTCGAAACACATATGGAAGCTGAAGGAAGCTAAGAAAGATTTTTCGATTTCATGGTCCCTACTGAAAACTGTCCCAGCCTACAAAGCCGGTTCAAGAAGATGCAACCTCTGCCTTGAGGAGAAACTCCATATCATGAAAGACAAAACTAGAACACTGCTGAACAAACGCTCTGAACTCTTTACGAAATGTAGACACGTAATTCGACACCTTATATCACGATGTAAATATAGAGAATAGCAACCAGACCTGCCATTAGCCTGATGATCGCTTTATAGCGTGAAACTCCGAGTAGCTAAGCTAGTCTTTCAATAAATATATATTATCGCTCTGCCAGTAATGGTATTGAGCGCTCTCCAACCATTGTCAAGTTCTGTGATCTTTTGTTACAGTCAATTATTTGGATATATATATATATATATATATATATATATATATATATATATATATATATATATATATATATATATATATCCGGAAACTCGTCTACAGACATTTTGTTGATGCTGACTATGGATGGCACGTCTATATTAAGTATGGACTGACAATAAATTATTGCATAAATATATTCATTGGTTTCTTTTTCAGTTTTCTTTCTTTAATTGGATAAATTATATACATATTAAAAATGAATGTAGAATGTTATCATGCATGCATACATACAACTTCGCCATCCATTTCGTGTTCGGGGTCAGAGCATGCCTAATTTATGTCAGTGAAATTTTCCGATTAGAACTCTACGGTGGGGCTGACCGGGCTGTGGAAAATGGATATATTTTAAGCATATGAAAAACGGATGTGACACGGATGATATGGCTGGATAATGTAGGCTCTTTGGGGATATTCTGTGGTTGAATAAACCTATTCCATGCAGGTTGTGTAAACAGTAAACTCTTAGCCACATGATGGGTAGTTCAATATTGCTGTCAGCTTTAAGAATTAAGATATTTATTGGCCAGACATCTCACTAACTATAGTTAAAAGATAATCACCTTTTCAACCGGCCTCCGTGGTTGAGAAACTATAGATTTACCGGCACATAGCCTGAAATCTTAGCGATAGCCCGGTTTGCGCACCGTGGAGCGTAGGTAAAAGAGCCGGCTGACTTGCGAGGTTGCAATAGCACTGCGATCCCCCCGTTTAATTCTGTATTGCATTCTGCCTTTTGGATGGTTATTTTTCACGGCAGAAAATATAATCAAAGACAAAGGGAAAAGAGATCCTCGTTCAATGATTTCTCATATCGTGGCTAGGATATTTGCAGAGGTATATAATATACAGTTATTAAACACTGTCAAGTCCGTCTCAATTTTACATGACCGTAAGTCCTTAGTGCCCTTAGTACGTGCGACAGAGCATCAGAGCATGCTCGAGAATCCATGCCAAAACCGACATAAAATTGAATCATTAGACATATTTGATATTTCAATATCGGCATTGAAACGTTTACACTCGTTTATCTCATCGTGATTGTTCGCCGGCAGTCCTGAACAACTGCTCTTCAGATCGCCTTTGTTAGTTGCACGCATCAATGAAAATCCGGCACAGTTTGAGACTTGTAAATAGCTGTGTGAGAGCAACGCTCTGTTTTTAATCGTCTGAGCACCTCAAATGTCGCTGTTTCGACGCAGATGGCTTGTCATTGACCTGACACTTTATAATGTGTCATCTTGCTACCATGTTTGGGCCGATACAACTCGAAATAATCCTCGAGAAATGAGAAATATGGCAACGTCACGCGCTTGGAATGAATTAATTATAGCCCGTTGTAATTGGATATCGATTAGATATTATAATGCTGTGTGTTTGCATATACGCATGTTGACGCTTTAGAGCTGTTGTGTCTTGACAGTTGAGGTTCGCTCAGACAAAGACGGTATAGTCTGTTCGCGACTTCTGTGCTCTACGAAAACGTTAGCAATCCACGAAGTGCAAAATCGTTTAGAGCATGGCTAAGGCAAGCATTTTACGTGAGCAACGTCGCGAGATGACGGACACGTTTACCGCAATTCGAGAGAAAATTGCGAACGCCCAAGTTGCCATTCGCAACTTAAACATGAAAGCTAAAGATCTGGAAGAGCAGAAAGTCGATGCTGACGAGCGTGGTGGAGCGGCTCGGGCGAAAATTATTGATCTGAGGAATATGATCGCGGATCGAGAGCGGGATTTGGCCGACGCAGAGAGCAAAATTCCGCTCGCTAAATCGAAGATGCACGAATTGGAAAGCATGCACGGAGAAAATATACACTTTGAGAAGGTCTTGGAACGGACACGGAGAGAAGTAACGGAACTCGAGAAACGCAAGAACGAGGTTCACGCGCTGGCGAAGGAAAAGACCGAAGATTGCTGGCAGGCAAAGCAAAAGCTGCATAAACTTGAGGTGCGCATCGAAGACGTGGACAAGCGAATTGAATTTAGCATGCGACGTATTCGTTGCCCAAGAGAAAATCGCGGCGGTCGAAGCGCAAAGCAATACCGTTAGCAAGAACTATAAGAGCTCAGCAAAACGAGATGGAGAACCAGTTTTATGAAAAGCAATTGATGGTGAGCCAAGCGAAGGAGAGACGCAAAAGGGCCGAAGAAATGGCGATGAAGTTATCCTGGCAGTCAGAGGAACTCGAAAAGCAAGTAGCAGATTATCAATCTAAAATGAAAGAAATGTTTAGCGGACAACGGGAATTGGCATCGTCCAAACTGCTTTAGGTTTTTAAATGATATACTATTCACCGTGCATGAGGGGATTGGGGGGTCCGTAAACAGACCAATGTAAGAAACACATGTCTCGTACTGTGCCTTAATAGCGGAAATTGACTTTATGAACAAAACAGCAGGAATGTTATATAGATAGTTTGGATATATTTGTTATAATGTACACAATTGTTACTAGAAATACAGAAATTTATTTTCTTTCACGTGTATTTGTTAATGACATGGTAATAAGTGGTAATTTTCGTACGGGTCCCCGTTTCCTTGCGAGCATAACTCTGTGCGGTATTTAAATCCGTGCGCTAATGTAAACAGTTTGATTACTCTGTCGTTTTGTCGAAGCCGGATCTATATCCAAATCTAATATCTGTTTTCAAGAAACGCTGCTTATTGACAGTAGTCTGCGCTGATATTCTTATGACTATATTTAATGAGGTTAATCGTTGAGTTATCTCAACCACGAATAATTTTCCAAGAGATGCGACGCGCGAGCGATAATTTCAACAACAGTCAATGTCATTTCGGCTTCGAGCCAAATTATCGTACGAGTATTCCCGATGATGGCCCGAAGTGAAATGAACAAGGTTTAAAATTCGTGTTTTCCACTTTAATTGGGCGATAAAACTTCGTTTTCATTCAAAATGCAGTCCAGGAAAAGTCGAGTTTTCCTCGATAAAAAGACTCATCATTCTGTATAAAGATATAATAAATTTATTTATTTTTTCGATATTCCGGTTTTCAGTCAATCCGGGTTTTAAGATTCCAGTTTTTAGTAGACCGTTTAATCAACGTTTCATCCGGAAATGCAGATACCCAGTCGATGAGAGACTGCATGAATAACATCATCCATGCATTCTTCGCCGTGGAGGCTGGGGAGAACCAACATGAGCGTTCGCTAATAATTTCGTTAGCCCTGAATTGCCGATATTTGCTTTCGCAAAATGTGAAGTGACGTTATTTTGTCGGTTAGTTTGTCGGATTTCCTGCAATCTATTGGCTGCAGCACCGGGTGGCTTTTTATGATATCTTGACCGTGGTACAAAAGTGTTATTTTTGCTTTCAAAAAGTGCTGTTTAAATTTTAAAATTGATTTAAAAGCCATCTAAATTGTTCCTGGAGAAAGTCTGACTCGTCCCGGCCGAAGAGTTAAACGTTCACCTTTGTCGTTTCATCATACCTAGTCCATAATGAAAATCGTACAAACGAGCTGACCATGAAGTAATTTGCTTATTAAGAGAAGATATTTTTCTATGTCGCGTAATATATGCTCAAAACCTCAGTTATATCTTCATGCAGCAGTACTAAAATTTTCAACATTAAAAATGTTTGGCAAACCTGAAAAGCATCTACAAAGTATGTTTAGTGACCGGTCAAAACCCGATCATTTTTGACCGAGGTAAAATGAAGTTGCGCGGTCACTTTGACCATGCGGAGGTATCTCAGCCGTTATTTGGAGCCCAGCGAACGCGGTAAAGCAATTAAATTAGCACATACCAGCGTTACAATGTAGCTTTATTTTAACCGTGTAATCATGCATGACACTATTCCTAAATTCCTGTGCAACGTTTCTATTACATGATCCTTTAGATAACAAGATTTCCCTCATTTTCCAATTTCTACTTTCGACAGTCTAATTCATGTTCTACGCTAAATGAACAAAAATATTGTGCAAAAAAATTACTTGTTCGTTATGTTCCTAAATTCCTGAACAACGTGTCTATTACATGATCCTTTAGATAACAAGATTTCCCACATTTTCTAATTTCTACTTTCTAATTACTACTCATTTCCCTCATTTTCTAATTACTACTAATTCATGTTCTACGCTAAATGAACAAAAATATATCGTGCAAAAAAATTACTTGTTCGTTATGAACTGTTGAAAAATTATTTGTTCGGTTATAAATTGTGCTACGATATCTCATACACCTGGTTCGCCACACCTTGTGCAAGCTTCATCCAAACATCTTGTGAACGGTGGGCACTGTGGTGGAGCACTACCTCTGGAACACTTTACGATCTGAGGTTTCCACACCATCCAATGTTGGTCAACGCTTTTCCTCGTTTTCATTTGAAGCTGCCACATGCACCCTCCGGTGAACTCCTGATTGTTGCCATAATTTTCACAAGTGAATGAGATCTCCTGGGTCTGTTCTTGGCTCTCGGTCCACTCCCTTGCCATGGAATGCGACACTGTCGTCGTGACAGACGCCCCACCAAACTTAAAACCGGCCTCGATGGTGGCACTCACCTCGACTGACGTTTCTTCACTGATCGTCGACGAATAGCTTATAGTATTGCTTATTGTTTGAGTGACTTGCCCGTTCTCGTTACAGCCTACCAGAGACCATGATGCAGTTGGGATAACCCAATTTCCGGTGACCCATCGGAAGCGTTGATCTTGTTCTAAAGTACATGTATACGTGCCAACATTTGCATTCACTGCGGCTGAAGTATCGGCAACGTCCAAGCACTGTCCCGACTTTCTGTTCAGAAAGGAGCAGTACTCTCCATGGCAGAATTGTCTAGGACTATGCCACATTTGATCCCTGAGATCCTCACACGCATACATATTAACATTGCCAAATCCACTGTAGTCGTCGACGTCTAGACACATTCTGGACTTATCATTAACCACTTCGCCATTTTCGTATTGGCTAAAGTACTGATCAGCAGAGTTCTCGCAGTGGTATATTCGAACATTGTCCGTTAAACTTGGCTTTGAGCCGCTATCCACATCGAGGCATTTACGAGATTTTTCAACTTGCAGCCGGCCATGATTCAGCACCATTCCTCGCGAGCGGAAATAAAAGTATTGGTCCTCTGTGTTCTCGCAATGATATGTTCCAATGTTACCGTGCCCGTCGTAATTTTCGACGTCCAAACACCTTCCGGATTTCATGTTAATCATTTCTCTTGCTTTCTGTTGAATGCCAGCAGTGTCGGTGAAGGTTCTTGTTCTGCCATATCTCCACTTTTGGTAGTTAGGAATTCTCGGGTACACTTGGCACGTGCTCGAATGAACATTTCCATCACCATTTACCCCGGCTGTAAAACAGTTATATGGGGCTTTCGTGTTACGTAACGTACCATCGCCGCACCAGATGATTTGTTGGTCATCAAATCCGTCACATAGGTAGGTGTGAACATTTCCTCCGCCGGAAAGGTTATCTATGTCAACACATCGCCTCGACTTCATTACGCGGAATTCGCCGATTACTATTGGATCCACACATACCAACTGAGCTGCCGTTGTTGCAAAAGTGGCAATGGCAATACCAACAAAGAGAATGCTTCCTGTGTAAGTATTTCTCGACATCTCAACTTGCTCAGTTTCAAATTAACCTTAAGAAAAACGTTGAATATATTTTACTTTTAAATTCCTTGAATTAGAAACGTGGAAACAAAGGGAGTGTTTTGATTCTAAGATTTGGCATTCCTTTCTGTAAAGACAGATCTTCTGCTTTTCTTGAGGTTCGTTGGTTGTATGCATTTCTATCTTTGTCTGGAGCAGACTTATTAACGAATTGCAATGCAATTGTTTACATTGAGAATGCATGAACCACAAGCATGCAAGACCTTTCAAGGGCAACTTTTGGCCCTTGAATGTGAATGAATAATTAATGAGCAGGAAAACCACTAACAAACTGACATTTGATCACAAAATCGCATTTGGATATCTCGATGATAAACCTCGCTAATAATTGTACAATGCATTTATCGGCATATATAATTACGAAATGTGATCAAAATCACTGGTGGTTTTCATAGGAGTACGAAGTTGTGTATTTACTAAGAGTACGAAGTTGTGTGTTTTGAAATATGACCCTCGCTAACTCTGACAAATCCACAAGGCATGTAATACGTTGTTTTTTATTAATTAGCGGAATATAGTATGTCTTTCCTGGGCATTGTGATGAACCCTAAAATGAGCGAAAAAATCAAAATTCCGATCTGCGGATTTGAAAGATTTTCTCAAAATTTCTCAATTTCTCAGTTTGAAAAATCCTAGATCCACCCCTGCCGTAGCCCATTTCGTAGCTATTTTCTTCGGTGTCTGTCCTTCCAGGCAACTGCCAGTGAATAGAATTTGAAATCCATATACCCTCTCATATATGCTTTTGATCTTTATACTGAGTCAAGCGTCACATTTGAGTTCTTTTGAGAAGATATTAAACAACTCAGCGGAATTCTAAAGTATTAAGTTTTGATAAAAGTCCTGTAGGTCAGTGTTAATACGCTTAGAAGAATATTGAAACTTCGTGCGAGTTTCTTTCGACACGCGGTTGACGAAAAATTAATTCGGGAGAGCTTCCGCAGCTGACATTTTTAAACTCTATTTTGAATGCACAAAAGTGGAAGTGGAGTTATACAAATAATTTGGCGTAAAAGCGCGCTTGCAAGTTAACAAACATTGATCGACGATCGAGCTTGTAAGAAAGCTAATTTTTAGCGCATATAAAAAGGGTCAATCAAGAAAATAGTCACGAACGCCAAGGGTTTATTACTCCGTGGAAACCCTAAGGAAACTCTTATCGGCGGTTAATTAAAGAACATACAGAGTATTTGCATAACATACAGAACATATGTAGAAAATTACCTATCACTGCCTCCGACGGGATAATTTTCCACAACAGATAACAAATATTTATCTATAATATCGCTTCGACTCACATTCACATTCGTTTTTGTACTTCTCTAACCATGTGCTTCCCGCCCAAAAGTTCACCCGATTTTAGGGTGGGCCCACGCAAGTTACCAACACATACAGAGATTGCATGCAGGTGAGATTTCCACGGCACATTATGTTCATTGTTCACCAGTGTAAAACGATAACGAATATCGACCGTATTAGTGACAAGGATTTATTTTTTACTGTTCAAATTTTGATCGCAACGCGCAAATCCTGTTTGTGCGTAAGAGACCTCTTCGCCTTCGGTGAGTATTGTGTTTATTGAATATTGTGTTTTCTACATTTTTTTAACGAATTTCCTTGTGATAAGTTAATGGGTTATGCGTTAGGCATGTATGTCCTTCAAGCTTGTCCATGAACAAAAATATCAAACATGATCTTGAGGCTGCCATGCATATTAATTCGCAGCAGTCATGTGTAAATTGCAAATTTTGCATATGAATTTCAATAATAGTAGGTTTATCAAGTTAGATTAAATGTCATGATATGATTTCAGTTGATAAATTGAGATTTTGTACAGTTCTTAAAAGATCAGGTACATGTGATTTTTTACGACATTTAATCATTTATTCAATATTATTGCTGTAATTAATTGCAAATTATCTAAATCACCACAAATTGGTTGCAGAATATGTAACAAAAAACACAGTCTGTCATGGACTTCTAAGCCGTTATGAAATTTAATCTTTGTTAATTTCTAAGTCTTCAGTCTTTCGGCAAACAGTTGATAGCTACACTGTGATAAATACTTAACTTTTTAATTATCGCAGCAATGTTGCTGTAGTATATATGAAACATCACTGTTCCTGGTATATGCATGTAATTATATTTATGTACTTAAAAAAAACACAGTCTGGCTTGGACTTCTAAACTGTTAAAGCCCGGCGTACACTGGAGGAAACAGCTGAGCTGAGCGTCACTCGTTGACTGAACTGTTTCCTCAAGTGTGCTGTGTTGTATTCTGCGTTTTCTGGCACGTGTGCTATCGACGTCGGATATTCAACATGTTGAATAATTTTGTGCACTAGTGAACATTTCCTCACAGTGTGCACAGCAGTTGGTGCGCGAGGAAACAGCTCAGCCAACAGGATATAAGAATAGAATGCCACTCAATGAATCATATAAGTGATTACTTGTAATTTATTTGGCAGTGATTTTAATGATTTCCCTACTAGCCTAATTAGGTAATTTAAGTTAAGTAAATAAATTACAAAAAAGTTGTGCTGATGCCAACCATAAAAGCGTTTGTCTCGCACTTTTCTCCGTGTATGTTTCTTTTATGTCTCATTTTGACATCATATATTGAGTTCAATGCACGCCGAGACCTTTTAAAGTTTTAATAGTCAAAAATATGGACGGAAGCTGTTGTCAAGGGTGAACCGAGGCATGATTCCACGGTTGCGAACCAATGTATAGTTTCACTAGATTTGTACCGCCAATATATTTCTTTATGTCTGATATTATTAGTTGTGCAACTGAATATAGTCAAAACAACTCCAACTCAAGTTTGTAGGTTAGTTATTACTTATTTCATTATTTATTTCAGTATGTTCGCGCCGCTATTTCTTAGCGCCAAAAATTTCATCAAAATGACGGTAAGGAAATTTTAGTTACTCGTAATTTCCTTTGAAGCAGGAATGCTAGAGAACGGCGAGGGATAAGCCACATAAAGTTCATACAATGGGCTTTATTCTCTATTTTTATACACATATGGGACTTGAATTTAAATCTTATATAACATATAGGAGCGTACAGGAGTAAAAATTTATACATTCAATACAACCTCTCAGATCAATGAAGATCATGACGTCACGAGGCGCCTGGGTAAAGTTATCCGAGTTATCATACGTGCTTTGAGTCATTTGTCCCCTTTCTTTCAACTGTTGGTATCAAGGGCGAAAAAATCAAATTCTAATTTACAGTTGAGTATAAAAAACATTTAAAATTTTCCAGTGTTGAAGTCATGTAAATTGAAGAAAATGATGATTCAGTTTCGTAGAGGATCTGACTTCTGATTGGTTGATTTTTATATTCAGATCAGCAGGAAGGGTATATTTGGGCGGATATATATGGGCAAGTCCAAGCCGCAAACAGGAAAAATCAGATCAAAATTTGTCATTGAAATTATAGGTCCTGGTCATGTGTTCAATGGCGAGCGAAGACAGTACATAAAGCCTCGATTCTCGTTACTCGGTAATCTATATCGTCAATAGTGAACACTAACAGGCGATTGCGGAATCGCAGCAAGGCTTTACACAGTATATATGCATGTGTATTTGGCAGTATAAACAAATTACCGGCAAATTTTTACAGTGAATACTAACCGTATTCGAATTGTACTCGCTCGTACTATGGATACTTGGCTTTTCATGCAGTGTGTTTATAATATTTTAAACAAAAATGATTTCATGCTATGCATACGAATAGCTTTGCATTTTCCGAACAAAAAAGTGCGAATTAGATAAAGTGATTTAAAATAAACTGATGCGTCGATCGTGCGTTTTTATAAACAATTCGCGATGCAAAAAAATGTTAACTCACCTCTATATGCACAATATCTTGGTATCTTGCGGACTGAGTTCAGCAAATGTTCTTGACCTGAGAGACCGTGGCCCCGATATGAAGTTAACACTCTTTGGCCTGACACTTTTATCTGCCGAGCATGTCAATTACAGCATGCAAATGAATGGAAATGAAAATTTCAAACAAGGAGCACTTGTCACGAATTTACTGATGTGCTTTGCAAATGCTATAGTCAATGTTTCCCCTATGATGATAATTGAATATTAATGTTAACTTAAAACATGGAACACAGCTTTTAGAAAAACGTTTTCATTATATAGAATATTAAAGTTTCGTCTAATCTCTAGATATATAGTGAATGAGTTAGAATTTGGTATATCTGTATGTATATGCATATTTTATATACATAAAATGTATAACATCACAAGGATATAGGGGAAACATTAGATATGCAAAAATGTAAATCATATCAATTAACAAGGTCATGTAGGCGGGGAAACATTAATCACACGCAACACAGTAAACAGTCTGCAAGAAATCTCCGACACTCAATGCAATTGAGTAGTAACAGCCATTTCAAACAAGGAACATTTGTCACGCAATTAATAATGACAACGATTCTTCCTTGAAATAATTGATTATTAAATGTGTATACTATAGAGATCAATTTGACAACGACACGCTTTTAATATACAAAAACACAGCGAGCAACAAAAATCGAATGCATCAAAACATATTTCAATGGAAGTTAGATATTCTTTCTGAAAGATTTGAGAATGTGCTGAATGTAAAATATCTTGAATATGAGAATTATGTTTTGAATCTCACTCCTATATTTCGACGCCATCTTGAAAGAAAATGTAAACCGGCAAATTGCCGCCAAAATGACAAACGACAATTTTTCACGTGTGAAGAATATCGTACGTCCATGCAATCAAAAGCCGTGAATGGTACTTTTTCACACGTGAAATACATCGTACGTCCAGTCAAATAGCATGAAATTAATTTACACAGTGAAATACAATTTTTATATCATCATTCTGCTGTGCATAAATCTCTATACACATATAATAATAATGTATAGCTTAAAACGTGGAATACAGCTATTCAGACTGAAAACGTTTTATCCTATAAACGTAAGTTATTGAGTTAGAATTTGGAAATTCACTAAAGAACATCACAAGGTTACAGGGGAAACATTAGATATGCAAAACATATCAATAAATATATCAATTAACACTGATTATTATGTAAAACATATCAATTAACAAGGTCATATAGGCGTAGAAGCGTTAAGTATACAACACAATAAACAATCGACAAAAAATTGAGGGAAACACGATGTAATAAAAACATATATATAGCTACCTTAACAGTTAACGCATTCATCACTTAAGAAATAAAAAACATTTGCTGTGTTTCTATACAGTTATAGAATAACGCTTCGGAGTTTGGCACAACGAGAATCGGTTCTCGTAAAATATCGTGATTTGTCGGTGGCTCGCATATTAATATTGGATCTATACTCCCCACCGACAAATCATGATATTTTGCTCGACTTTCTCGAATAATTGATTATTAATTGATCTGTTTTGTGTACATGTCTGTCTTCTTCATCATGTTTCCCCTATAACCTTATTGAGTGTTTTTACATATATATAAGGGAAACATTAAACATGCAAAAATATAAATTATATCAAATAGCATGCTCATGCATATAGGGAACATTAGATGAGATACACGAAAATAAAACAGTCAATAAGGTTATAGGGGAAACATGATGTGTATATATATATATATATATATATATATATATATATATTATATATATTATATATATATATAACATATATATATATATATATATATAATATATATATACATATATATATATATATATATATATATATATACAAAACCTTTATATATAAGTCTAAAAAAAGCACATTAGCTACGTATACAATAAGGCTATAGGGAAAATATAGATACGCAAAAATATAAATCATTAATTAGCATGGTCATGCATATAGGGGAAACATTAGATATACAAGAAAATAAAACAGTCAATAAGGTTATAGGGGAAACATGCATGATGAGGAATACACACGTACATATTACACAAACATATGAATTAACAATCATTGAATAAGGTTATTAGCGCAACATATATAGAACAACGTATGTATATATATAGCTCGGTTCGGATGGGAGCAATCTATGACAATATATTCCTAGCGTGGGGATAATATTACGCCGCCCGTTGGATTACCGAAACGGCAAGGCTTCACATCAGCCGTGTTTAAAAACATCTGAAACGTTTGCATAACAGTTCCTGAGCTAACAAAGAGCAGTGATGCTATTTCATCATAACTTCGGTCATAAAACAATCGTTGGTAAATCATTCTCCATCGTAAATCATCATTCAGGCATTTTTGATTGACAATAGTGAGCTTAAGCAAGCGACGTTTTTGACAACACAAACCGCATGAGTAACGTGAAAAGACTGGGTCAAGGATTGTGATTGGTGAAAAACAAAAACTTTACTTCCGGTGAACGTACGTGTTGTCAAAAACGTCACTTGCTTAAGCTCACTAATAACTAGTGTACGCGGCTTCATATATTGAACGCGCAACTATCGCGAAAAGACCCACGCGAGTCATGCATATAACAAATCATGTGATCGATATTTAGATTTTTAGGCATATATGTATATGACAACCTTTTTGATATCGACTGTTTAAGGTCCCTTTTAAGGCAGAGCGTTTAACACAAAATGTTTTTTCGCTTTCAAATACGTAGTACAACTAGAAGCTTAAATTGTAGTTACCTAAAAGGCAATGAAACCAGAGTTAGTTCGTACAATCATTTCAGCGTCCGCGATGAATGCGATCGCAACCAGAATTAATAGATTTCATATCATTTTCGTATTTTTTTTTCAATCCTCCTTCATATCCAATGTCCAAGGCACGATTCATGAAAGGGTTGAACGGGAAGACGCCGCTATCAACTTTTTGAGGCTTGCATGCATCCCTGTATCCAAAAGCCTTTTCTGGAAGATCAGGAAATATATCGTATTTTGCCGCGGTTCTCAATGTATTTTTACATTCAACGGTACGGCTGTAATATTTCTGAAATTCGTCGTTCCCAACTCTTAGAGAGCCAAATGATATGACGGCATCAGGTCGCCGATGATAATGACCTCTTACAAATGTAGAGGCCTAGGTTGCCATCGCTCCACCAGGACTATGACCGCGGTTACAATGATTTTGTAACTTCGTGGAATTGAATGATATTCCGCTTCAAACCATTTCTTTATGTCGGAGTAACGATTTCTAAATCATTGATGAATTCTGAACCGGTCTCCATTGATTTTCACTTCAACTAGGAATACGTTTAAATTTTTTAGCCAATCGTTTCTGGTGGTTGTCCCACAAAATCCAAAAACAGCTAATTTTTGTTTGTGATTTCTAAACACCAAAACTTCGGTATCTCGTCTTTCGTAGCCTTTTGCCACCCAATCTCCGATGCTGCAGGATCTTCGGTAACCATGGCGCGTCGTTTTCTCTTGGATATAACCGTTGCTGATGAAACGCTCAGTTGAGAATGGTAGGTAGGCTGCTTTCGACACAGATAGAGCCAGTTTGATGAACTTATCGGCAGAATTAACTGGCTTTTTGGGCGGCGCGGGCTTTCTCCGGACCCACCATCCGCTTGCAGTGGAGAAAAGTAGAAGAGCAAAGATCACAATTGAATAACAACGAAACATGCTTAATTCCCTTAAATTTTACGCACAATCCTCAAGTCTGACAGTCATCGAGAGAAACAATATGAGTGTGCCATCCTTCGTTAATATATAGTCTCTGTAGCGGATGCTCGGCATATTTTTTAAGTTATTAAAACAGGAAGAAATTCGAAAATTGAAAAAGGAACAATCAGTTTGCACGTAGACTATTTTAGGGTTGGGCTATAGTGGAGGGGGTGTATGCTATATGTTTTTTTTCTTTAGTCTTTTTTTTTGTCTTGCATAATTTTCAACTCAAAATAGACCCATTTCCTCAAATTTGAGTTCCTGTTTGGTAGGTCAACGTGGGAGGATGATGCTTCTGTACTGAAATATTAATTGTAATTTGTTTTAAAGTGTCAATGCAATGTTGAAGTGTTTGGGGCCCATAGCTCCATAGCTTTAAAATGTTCTACCAGAATTGAATTTATTTGCATCTAAAAACTGAGAATTCGCGTCGCGTTGGCAAATCGCGTCCACTAGCGCGTGGGTCTTTAAAGCACAGCAATGCCAATTTTACTGGTATCGCAGAGGACTTGAGTCTCCTTGGGTCTCGAATTCTGTTACAAGCTAAGATAAGATTAAAGAATATCATCTCTCAATTTTACAGCTATAATTTGACTATAGTTAATACGTGATACACAAAAAGAACTCTTTCAAAACAAGATATCAATGTGATACACCCACAAGAAAACGTCAAAATTGTCCCATATAAACGAATTCAAGTCTATTTTGGTGAGCCTTGGATGACAGAAGACGCTATATGTATTCACTATTTACAAATCATTCTAAATCGGTTGTTTGGAACGGAAGTATATTCGCATAATCCGCTATTTTGTGTTTTCCTAATCTACATTCAAATGTAATGCTCAATTTCACAGCAAAATCGTTTATTTAATACTTTTAACTGAACTCTATATGTGAACTGGAACTATCGCCCACCATGCCAATATGAAGCCGAATCGGGCACCAGTGCCAGTCCATTTCAATGTTTCTGTCTTCCGATCGCACCAACAAAAACAATAGAAAGGGACTGGCACTGGTGCCCAATTCGGGCTATTCGGCATGGCGGGCTACAATTTTAACTTATTGGGGGCTCTGGTTTCGAGATTGTAAATTAGCTTCATAGATGGCGTTCAAATCACCCTGTGAGATACCCGTGACCCGTCAGTTAATAGAGAGGTCAGAGGTTAAGATACCCGGGTTCCGGTGTACGGGTACGGATAGCCTTATTTTGTTCAATGAATATCCATCAGTGTTTCTCAATTTTTTTGAAGATTAACTCGACAATTCTTTTTCAGTAGACAGACAGTAGACAGAAACCCAGACAAAAACTTTGACGTCTGTAAGAAAATAGCTATTTGTGGAAGCTATCACCACGATTTTGCCAATTTTGCCAACACGGTTAACATACTCATAGAAAATATTCAATTTGGAAGGCCTCCCAAACCCTTTAAATCAAAATATTTTCCGAAAATCTGCAAATGAAAGGTATCAAACTCCCCAAAACACCACGGTTCTTCTTCTGACGTATGTTATTTTGCGCCAAACGTTGTCGGCATGTCGCTATGGCAACAAGAGGCTAGTTGTTGCCAAAGAGAAACAGATTTTGAGAGTTGTGCGTTTAGAGCGTTTTAAAAAGTTTTATTTTCGCCAAAATGATTCCTCCAAACGCATCGCTTGTCAAATACGATAACCCGGCGTTAGTGAGCAGAAATACTGATAAAAAATCACCGCGGGTAAGTTTCAAACTTTCATATTCTGATCGTCGAAACATAAAATT